AGCTTTGTTTTTCTATTTTTCATTTTTCTTGAAGTATGTGTCTAACACATATTTGCGCATGGTTATGGGATCTGACCCTCTAAAGACTCTTCAAATGCAAGAAAAAATCTAAATATAAATGTCGGATATGTGTATTCCACACATCTGAGTTAGTACCATAGGCTATAAGTATAAAACCATTGTCTTTATAGGTATAGGAAACGGAAATTGTAGTCTTTAATGTACGCATGTTTTTACACTATGGTGGTTCTCCGTCTGGTATTATCACTGTAATATTTGTTTTTGTTTCGAACTGGACATAATTTCAGTGTCAACCTCTTTGTACAGGGCAAGAAGGAATGCTACACATCGTGCCTCTTTGTCTGTTATGACTTAATTCGACCAGATGTTGCTCTTGAGCTTGCCTGGATTAACAACATGATTGACTTCGCATTCCCATATCTGCTGCAGGTGATTTATGTGCTCTGCTGCTATCAGTATCGTCATTTAGTTAATTGTTTTATTAGCTAAAACGCTTCGATGGCTGATCGTAGCACAACTGCTTATTTTACCATGATACTGGTTTGTTTCAAGATAGTTCTTATTTCTATATTATTTTTTCATTGATTTTTTTAGTTTATCCGCGAATATACTGGCAAAGTTGATGAACTTATCAAGGACAAGATTGAAACACAAAAAGAAGTAAAGGCTAAAGAGCAAGAAGAGAAAGAAGTCATAGCACAACAGGTAATAATAATAACCTTAAAAGGCCGATAACTCAACTCCATTTTCTCGAAAATGTATTATACTCCTGCACAGTGGGAGTAGCTAGACTTTCGACGGATTCGAACTCCTAACCGATAAAAACAAATGCCTTATGTTGCAGAACATGTATGCTCAGTTGCTACCTCTTGCATTGCCTGCACCACCAATACCAGGTATGGGAGGACCAACGATGGGTGGTGGATTTGCGCCTCCACCACCACCCATGGGGGGAATGGGAATGCCTCCGATGCCACCATACGGGATGCCACCAATGGGCAGCAGTTATTAATTTGTGACAGGTTTGTTTGATTGAAAAAGCTTTTAGCCCAGTTGATTCGTTCTGTTGCAACGACGGAAAAGACTTTGAATTCGTTGTTCCAGTGTTGGCAATTTCTTCAGGATTTTGAATAATGTCATTTTATATTGTCTATTTGATATTGCTAGTTTGTAATATTCTTTTTGTGTTTTTGGGTTGAAAGAATCAATATTTTTGGTTGTTGGCAAGAAGGTAAGCCCAGGATTATGATCATATTGCATATTTGAATTTTGTAGTATCTTCGTTTGATGATGTCATTGGAATTGACCAAGCGGTATGTTCGAAAACACCACTTCACACTTTTTTCTTTTCTTTTCTTTTTGCTTCATTTTTTCTAATTTGAAACAGAATTTGTTTCCGATATATATAGGGCTACCTTTTATTGGTAAATTTGCTGGCTGAATACATGAATTTTAATTTTGATTTCATGTAATTTGTGTTAGCTCGTTCTCATTTTGACTATAATTTTTTAATTTTTGGCAATTAGGTCAGCTAACTATATAAATGCATTCAATAAAGTCACTTGCATTTAAAATTTAACAGAAGTGTTGACGTGATAGTTAATAAATTGATATAATTATACATTTGATCTTCAATATTTATAAATTATATCAATTTAATCACAATTTTAATTTTAATTAATAAATTTAATATCCAATTAGATGGTGACATGTGCCACTATTAGATTGGATGATATTTTATTAATTTTTATTATCTAATTTATTTTGTTTTGTATCTAATCATGTGGTGACACGTGTCAATACAAAGTATTATGAAATATTGTTTGGCTTTAGATTAATGGAAGAAATGGTGACTGTAGAAGAAAATTGATGAGGTTTAATTTAGTGGTAAAAATGGTGAAAATTTTGATAGAGATAGGCGCGTTTGATAAGTTCATACCAATGGAGGATTTCTTTTAGATTCGTTGAAGGAAATTGTGTGAATTCATTATGAAGATTAATGGATTTTAAATTTATCGTGATATTTTTAATTAAATTTGAATTATTCAATACTATATCAACATATTGATAAAAGGGTAAGTTACATAAATAACCACCTAACTATGGGTTTTGATCTCGAAATGATCACTATTTTTAAAGTTATGTCAATATGACCACTGAACTATTTAAGTGGTTTCAATATAATCTGTCGTTAACATTTAACGAAAGTATTTACAAAGTAGTTAACAAAATTGATATAACTAGAATGTGAGTCCTTATAAAGTTACGTATTCGTAGCGCTAGAACAATGCTTTGTTTTCTTCTATTTTGGTCACTACTTGTATATGATTTGGTTCCTTGGATTTTCATTTAATGCAATTTGATCCCGATATGTTTTTAATTTGTATAATACCTTAATTTGAACATTAACTTTAACATCTTTTATTCTAGTCATGTATTAAATTTATAGATTAAATCCCCTAGACATTAGAATTAATCAATTTGATTACCAAAATAACTTTAATTCTTATATTTTTAATTAGGTCTTAATTTTAATTTAATTTAATAAAATTATTTCTCCAATCAAATTGTAACATATGTCACCTTTTGAATTGAAGTGAAAATAAATGAATATGAGTTTTGACATGCAAGGAAACCAACTTGGGTCTAAGGATAAATTGCGCATGCCTTGACCATTGAGCACTTTCTCAAGATTATTATTAAGATAATACATATGTTATATAACTTGTTCAAATTTAGGCAAAAAAAAATTAAATAACTTAATGGGATTTAAACCTAAAATGAATTAGTAACCAAACAAGTCTTAACCAATAAGCTAAATCTAATATTTAGGAATCAATTGTAATAATATATATTATATATTATAGTTAATGATAAAAAATAAAAATGAATAAATGAGAACTTACATCTAGACCAATTGAGAATATGACAACACTTAAATCACTAAAATAAATCTAATAATTTATTTAAGATTTTAATATTTTTAAATTAAATTTATTGTTTTCATATTTATTTTTTAATGATTATTTATATAAAATCATTGAAAAATAATTTAATATTAAAAAATTAAAATTTATCTTTTGATTTTACTCGTGAGTTTAGATATATTAAATAAATTTTTAATTTAATTTTAAATATAGTTTCATATCATTAATAAATAAAATTAATGCTCAAATTAAGGCATTAGACAAATTAAAAACAAAATCAAGATCAAATTACATTAAATGAAAATCCAAGGAAACATATCTATACAAGTAGTGACCAAAATGAAAGAAAAACAAAACAATGTGCCAACGTCGCAAATACATATCTTTACTAAGAGTCGCGCCCTAGTTCTACCAATTTTATTAACTAATACGTAAATACTTTTATTAAATATTAACGACAAGAAACTATATCGAAACCATTTAAATAATTCAATGATCATATTGACGTAAATTTGAAAACGATAATCATTTCGAGACCAAACCTATAGTTGGGTGGTCATTTATGTAGTTTACCCTTGATAAAATTAAAAGATATTTTGTTTAAGAAACAAATCCATTTACACTTAGGATAAGAACTTTTAATTTTATACCTTTTTAAAATGAGAAAAAAAAAAATTAAATACTAAGATTAAATCTTTTTCTATGTGAATACCATCTCATTTCTTACCTTTAATCTCAACTTATTTCGCCTCATCTATCCATCCTATAAAAATATAATTTTTAAAAAATTTTACATTATATAATTAGATCCTAATATATATATATATATGTATAGAAAGAATAACCTAAAGTGATTATAGACAATGACGGCACATACTTAAATTCGGATCTTCTAGAAAGAATTCTCTTTTATCTTCTCTTAATGAGTTCAAGTTTTCATTTATATTTAAATACAAAATGTGCATCAGATTTTAATTTTTTTTCATGCATATTTCAAAAGAAAATAATATATATTCATTACTCATCTGTCTATTGATCATATTTTTCTTCGAGTATTCATTCTGAAAACATATACATATCTAACAACTATACATAAACATATCAATACCAAAACATACACTCAAGCAACAACTATAAACAAGCATAGCAATATTCAAACATGCACATATCCAACGAGTATAAACGAGCATAGCCATTTTCTGATTCAAAAATATTTCTTAAGGTGAATACACATCAACTACGTAACATTTTTGTTTGAGGATAGATACAAATAAAACCTCAAGGCGGACACAATCAATAAAATAGATAATTAATTAAAAGAATTTCAGATTTAATGGTGGACACTTGCCAACCCTTATCCCTATTTACATCCGCCATTAAGCATAGACTACAACAACAACAACATACACATCCAACAACTATACACATTGTAGTATACGAACATACATGTATCCAACCACTACACTCGAGCATCGTAATATCCAAAAATACATGTATCCAACAACTATACCCAAGCATTACAATATCCAAACATACATGTACCCGTATCCGAGAACTATACCCAGGCATTGCAATGTACCTTTTTGGTATTGTTATGCGCTGGCATATTTATGTTTTTGGTATCAATATGATCAGGTGTAGTTTTCTGATACGTGTGTTAAGATATTGCTGCGATTGTGTATAGTTATCGGACACATAAATCCAACAATTATACTCGAGCCATGCTTCAGTAACATTCTAGATTACACATTTTTTACAGCAGACAAGAACTTGCACAATCATGGAATAAAGACAGAAATAAGAAATCTGCTAAACCTAGTCGCTAACAATATGCTTCCCTAAATTCAAATCTATAGCCGGAATAGACCTAGCCTGCCATCCCTGATAACTTTATATTATTAAATACTTCAGATTTTTCTTAAATTTTATATTGATAATTTGTTTTAGCACCTCTAGAATTTTATAAAATTTTATAAGCTCACACTCTCCTAAAATTTTAGTTCACAACCACTAACATAAAATTATGTGTATTCAAGAAATTCACTAAAAAGTAAAATCCAAAACCATAAGAATTTATCAAAAGCTCAAATAACATGTTTCCATAAGATTGAAATGGTTGGTTATAGACAACAACGCAATTTCTTTTTTTAAGAGTAAAATATCCATCAAACATCTCTAAATCTGAAGAACCAGAGATCCGAAATTACTAGCTTTCTAAAGTTGGATTACTTAGATCTTTGCCTCATCTTTCTCCTCTTCCTCTTCAACCTTCTCATACGCTTCTTCTTCCACTGAAAATTAACACAAATTCAAAAACCCGTTTAAAAAAAGAAGACGACAATAAGCATAAAAAATAAGAACCATTCTTCGGATGGTTAGGTTTTGTACCTTAGCTCTCATGGTGAAAAGGCTTCGAAATCGGTCTCTTTCTGCAGCTCAAATTCTATGGCTTTGCGTAATTCTTCAAAGGCTGCGATGAGAACCAGAAAGTGTAAGCCGGGTGGTTCTCAGCTTATATAGAGAGAGAGGCTTTAAAACCCTAAATTCCTAAAGGTCGATTTATAATGTTTGGGTAAATGGACTTTTGAGACTTTATTGGGCTAAGCTAATACTGCGTCATTTTGGCCCATAATCCGAATCCGCATCAAATACGAACATTACCATATCCGAATGAGTACATGATCGATTTGAGTCAAAAAAATTGATTTAATTAAGTTGATGAGTCATATTTTATGATTATAAGTTAATATAAAAATGTTTCAAGTCGAAATAAATTTATGATATTCGAGTCGAATTTTTAAATTCCTCTTTAAATTTAAATTTAAATTTATTTTTATAATATTATGATACACATTAATTCTATATTAAAAAACTTTCTCTAATCATAAAAGATATACATATACATTTCTTCATATTATTTTTCATATGTGTAAGTAATAATTTGTGATGTTATTTAGTATATCTAATAACATTTGAAATTATAATTTATATTATATTATTATTTGTAAAAAAAATATTCATAAAACAAGTTGTTGATGAGAGTATAAAGAAGTCAAAAGGTTTGATGAAAAGAAATTTTTTATAAAAAGAAAATTAAAGGGTCAAATTGAATAAAATAGGACTAACTTACAAAAATAATAAATTTATTATTAATAATAGAAATTACATAATTAATCATTCAACTTTACTCACTCTCCAAATTCACTCACTATACTTTTAATTTTTTTCAATTTAATCACTCAATTTTTGTTTTACTCCTATTTTGATCACTCATCGACCATTGTTCAAGTTGTTATATGGAAGCCAATTTGATCCATCAACTCTAGCATTGAATTTGTATACTAAAGAAACCAACATCGTGCTTACATAATTTCTAATTGAAATTGTTGTCTTAAACAGTGTAGTTGTATTTAATTAATTTGAAGAGAGAATAAAGTTAATGATTAATTGTGTAATTTACCCTTTGTACATTTACATATGAATGAAATTGGTGAAAAAATATGGGAGACGCATTGCACTCCATGCGTCTCCCCCAAATTTATGTATAAGTCGCTTGGACTCCAATGCGTCTTCGAATTTACTGTAGCATTCACTTTATTTCACGAAATAATTTCAAGAGTGTTCTATTCAAACAAATTTTTTTTAACTGCATTATTTGAGAAATTCAACAGTGTCAATTGATACCCAAAATTTTTAAAAAATAAAAATTTCTTATATAAATTATATATATATATAATAAAATTAAAGAAACAACACAACTTTAAAAAATAATTGACACCCTTTAAAAAATTTGATCTCACATTTTATAATAAATTTAACAATAAAAATTTTAATAGGTATGTAAATGAATCGAATGCTCAGCGAACTATTTGTGAATTATTCGGCGGGAAGTTCATTTATGTTTGTTTATTTATTAAATGAACGAACATGAACAAATTTTTATGTTTGTTTACACATCATTTATTTATGTTTGTGAGCATTTAATAATTTGTTCATTTATGTTCTTTCGTTTATATTCAATCCAATATCCAGACCCGTTATAACACACTTAACTCGTATATACCTCGTAATACGAACTAAAGATATCACATCAACTCAACTGACATTTGTTGAACTTAAATGCTTAAAAATGTTGTTTCATTTAATAATTTTATTTTTATCTTTAAAAACTTTTTCCTTAATCATAAAAATTTATAAAACATTGTTTGTTCATTGAAAATAAATTTGATTTATGTCAATAATTAGACACTTCAGTGTTGTTTCATATCCATATACAATTGCCTAATACCGCTTGATTTTAAACCATTTAAAAATATAACATTTATAATATTCACTCATATATATGATTAATACTAAATTAGACAAAACTAAAGTAAATAACCCTAATTACAATTACAAACTCTTTTAAAAAAAATATGATAAAACAACCCAACAGATATAATGTATATGTCACTAATAAGTTAAAGTTAGGATGTCTTATTGATATTGTCGGTATGTTTGATTTTCCATAAGTTGCTGACAAGCTCCTCAATTCACGTCCACTACTTTATTCGAGCGAACGCATGAAAATCATCACGCGCTAAGTAAAACTTAGTAAGGCAGAAGTATAGCTAAACTATAAAATCCATAAAATGTAACAATAAACTAAAAATTTTAATAAAAACAATTAAAATTTCAAATCGGACTAGTCAGCATGTTTTCTTTCTGAAAACCTGAAAATCATCATCTCGTGATTTTATCAAAAATCATGTAAGTCATCATCAAATATCATAAATAACTTTTGTTATTTTCATTCAAACATATTTCATAACTTTCTTTTCAATCCTATGTTCTTTTCTTTTATATATTGTCATAACTTTCACACTTACTGTTATAACCTAATGTATATGTAAGAGAATACAATGTACGTGAGTATAAGGTGCGCACTAGGCACAACACGGTGTCGAATCATAACTTAAACTACGATATAATGCACTTCAGTGCAATCATAACATGAGCAACAACGGTGTTGAACATTGGTACACGAATGTACCAAAGTTGAACTGATAACTGATAAACACTCAATGATATGCCAAATGCACCTACGACTCTCAATACAACATACAATGTGTTTATATTTATCATCATATAATCATTTATTATTCTACGTCTGATAACTGTAAAACATCTGATAATTTTAATCATCTGATAACTGAAAATTATTTAATAATTGTAAATATCTGATAACCAAAAATCATATGATAATTGTAAATATCTTATAACAGTGAAATGTCTTATAACTGTAAACATTTATAATTCATCATCATAAATATCCTACTTTGGCATTTCATACTCAAAATCATTCATAAAACTTTATGAAAAATATTATAGAAATATTTCATACTGAAAATTTATAAATCATATTAGAAAATAAAAGGTGGTTGATTTATCGCAAGTCATCATCGATCAGAGTAATTAAATAAATAAACTAGACTCATTTTAAAAATTTTACTTATAAATCAAATATAAGTCTCACTAATCTTTAAAAATTGCTTCCACTACACAATTTATTGAAATTTCATATTCTAACAGTTTGCACTACCTTCAAAGAAATATTATTATGTATTAATATACATATTAAAAAATTATTCCGTTTGCACCACTGAAAATTAGACTTGAATAAAAATATAACCATGTAAGGCACTCCGTCTAGTTCTACCTGTATAATTTATAGTGAATTTTCAAAGTTAGCTAACATAAGTTGTTTTGGACAGAATATGCTGTTATGTTTTCTGACCTATTACTAATTAAAAATTCATATTTTTTGTATACTTCTTGAAATTAATTTTCGTTTGTTCTGAATGAAACTAGACTGATAGACGAATCCAATGGTATAAGATTCATCCTCTATTCATTTTTTTTATAATTTTTGATGATTTTCTAAACTTAATGTTCAAAACATAATTTCTAGGCAGATTTTACCAACTAGTGTTCTTGACTTATTTACTAGTTCTATTAACTTACTAAATAAATATATAAACTTGAATCACACTTTACATAACACTAGGAATCACTTCTTAACGTAACTCCGACACTGGCTCATCGCAAGCCAATGTTTGGTCGAAACATATATACAAATGAAATGCATTCACCTTTGTCTCATTATCGAATCTTCTCCACAATAATCTTCTAATTTCACATCTTTTCCTTCTCTTTTTAGTTACTTCGTCACTAAATTTACTGTAGTCTGACAACGTCATATAACATCATAAAATATCCAAGTTTTATGTTAGCATCAAACTAACATAATTTAAACTTAAATATAAAATTTGATAAAAATAAATTGATACTTAAATTGATATAAAACTAAATCGTACTGCCATCATAATTCAAACTTCTCAAAACAATCATTAAATTCCATAAATATTTAGTTTCACTATCAACACTTCAACTTTTACTAATTTCATAATCCAACCACTAATTATGTTTTTTTTAAATTCATATCAAATTTCCTATTTAATCTATAATGACCATTCACCATTATGATCACTTCACATTAATCACATAAAATTTACAGCACCTTAATAAAATATCCAATTCAATCCTTTAACATTTAAAATATTGCAATTTCAACCCAAACATTCCTAAACTTCCAATTTTAATCACCCAACTTCATAAACTCATAATTTGATTCATGCTCATTAATTAAACTAAAAAACCAGCATGACAATAATATTTTTCCAGCATTAAGATTTATTGATCAAAATAATACCATCACCTTTATAAAATCACAATCAAGTCCCTAAAGTTTTAGGAACCTTTTGAATACATCCACTAAAACTATCAAACTTGAAATTTAGTTCCCAACAACTTTCCTAACTTATAAATTCCAGCATGCTATCCTTATAAATCAATACTAAGTCCCTTTAAAGTTCCAAACTTCTCAAAACTTGTACATTTGCCCTTTTTCTAACTCAAGCTTTCAAATTGATTCAGATCAACCTCCAAATCACATATAACACTTCTAATATTCATTCTAGACCATAGGAAAATTTTCAACATTTTTCCTTAATTTCTTCCCTATGGCCGAATACATCATGTCACAATATGTGAACTTTTTATTCAATCTCAAGCATGAATTCAATCTCCCATGATCAAATTCATGCATTTCCAATCACTACAACCTCAAATTAAATCAAACTCCATCAATTCTCCATAAACCCTAAAGTGACCAAACCTAATATAAGCATGTATAAGTAATTTAAATCATCATACATACTTTAGAATTAATCTTCTACCTTAAAAACATAAAAATACTTTATAAACTCTTCAAAATCACCAACCCTTCGTAATCCTAATCATCATATCTCATTACACAAACATGTTCACCATACAATATTTATGCCAAATGATAGAGAATTTCATGTAGAATAATTCTCTATTTCACAATCTAATCCAAAAATCATTCAAATAGCTTTAAAAATTGAAACAAAATTTTCTTACCTTAAGCAAGAGGAGTTTCAGCCAAAAAGAAGATAGGAGCTGAAGATGTTGATTTCTCTCTCTCTCAATTATTATAGTATTTAAAAGCTATTACACTTGGCTTAAAACCAATTTAATTGAATTTTTAATTCAACTTTTAAGAAATTCCATTTTAGCCATTAATTAATCCTAAAAATTACCATATGCCATTTTCCCCAATAAAATATTCCTTAGTAAAAAAATCTCAAATTGGCTTTGACTTTTCACTTTGTACAAGCAATTTTTGAAAATTGCATTTTAGTCACTAAAATTCCACTATTCAACCAAATCTAAAAAATTACGTTGATCTGAGCTAAATTTATCTAATCTAAAATATGTAAATAATATTTTAAACCATTTTCTAACATCCTCCAAATTTTTGTGAAATTCTAAATTGATCCGATTATCCGATTCGTATACCGAATTTTATCTCTTTATAGCTTTTAACACAAATCTCATACCAAAAATCTAGTTCCCACCACAATCTTTATTTTAGGCCAAACTTTTCATTTACGAGCTAAAATATATAATTTTTTTAAAATTATATTTTTAGTCACTAAATTTTTACAAAGTTTATACTTTATCCCTCAAACTTTTAAAACTTATATTTTAGTCACTAATCAAAATTTGGAGATATTACACCCGTTTGAAATATTAACACCTAATAAATTTTAAACTTAAACCCATTAATATTTTTAAAATCCAATTAATTATAAACCCAAATAGAAAGTTCTCAAATCACTTAAAAAAATATAAATCTCAAAATTATTTGAAAGAGAAAAACTATTCTCAAATATAAACCCAATTAGTTTTATGTTCGTTCGTGTGTGTTCTTTTATCATTTTAACGAATGAACACGAACAAGCTACATTTCTTAATTAATGAACAAAAAATTTCGTTCGCGTAGTTGTTCATGTCGGTTCATTTGTTAGATTAAAGCTAAACGAATGAACAAGAACATACCCTCGTTCGTATTCATTCGATTCGTTTACGGGCCTAAAATTTAATACTCAATTTCTCACTCAATTTTTTCATATAATTTTTAAATTTGACACCCCAAAATAAATCTTCTAGCTATGCCCCTGTTTTAGGCAAATGTGACCTCATATTCAGGTTTAGGGAAGCAGGAGAATCATTATAGGGTATTTTGTTTCTCCTCCGACCGCCGTGAACGACAATGGAGGGCACCGGTGAACGATGGTCATTCTTCCGACGAGGAAAGCTAAAGAGAAAATTTTCGCTCATCTTTTATGAAACAAAAAAATGACAAGGCATTAGGAATTTTAGCCTTGGTTTTGGGCTTATATACATCGTGTGAAACGATGTCGTTTCAAGGGAAAGAAGCGTCCGTTTTAAGCGCTCGGGCTAATAGCCTATTTAGTCCTAATTTTGTAATTCTTTATTGTAATCATAAAATGAAATATGGGTTATTATTTTTTACGAACCTTTAATTTATGCACGCTTACCTTTTAGTCACCTTTTGTGTGTATTCGTAGCTTGGTTTAATACTTGATCTCGTTTGATAATTTGAGATTTGTTTCATTTTAATCATTCAAGCTTGCATGCTCAAAAGTTGATGTATTTATGCTCCAGATCCTTTTAGATCCGCTGTGTATTTATTTTGGTCACCATTTTAATTTAGTTATAAAGTAAATAAATTAGATTAATACATCCATAGTTCTTTTAGTATAAGATTTTATGTGCATGTTTCATTTTAACCGTATATATAATATATATAAACTTCTTTTATTTGTTTTTTATAAATTTTTAATTCTAAATTACACACACACACACACACATATATATATATATATATGTATGAATTTCTTTAAATTATACGCTAGATTATATTATGTACTATAATAATATATTTATTTGTTTTTTATGTATTTGAAATATATACTTATATATCTTATTATTATACGTTTATTACATATGCATATAAATTTATTTGATATCTTTTATACCTAATCTATTTATATATGTTCTAAATCTTTATTTATACAATAATATCTTTTTGTCAATTTTTTTTGTACTTAATATTAATTTTATTTATTTACTGGTACATATGTTCAAGAACACTTGTAGTATAATGGGCGTGAAAAGTAGCACTTGATAGAAATAGTGCAATTCGATGACTTTCGAATGAATCACAAACTTGAAATAAATCGAGTCCATTTTTGTGCTATTTTGTAATTCGGAAAAAATAATCAATGTTCAATAAAATGCATCGTACTATAATTTTTGACTCGAATTTATAATTTTCATTGTAACGATGACGTATAAGCGATCAAGCACTAATTTTAAGTGTTGTGAGGTGTTAATCATTTCTCTCGCGTAATCGACTCTTGAACACTTAAAACAAATCTTTGAAAAACACATACCAATATTTTTTTGTCTAAAAAATGATTTTTCTCAAAATTGTTTTAAAATACATTTTTTGGTATTCGACCTACTTAATCCAAAGGTTAATGGTGACTCTAAATTTTAAATTAAATCAATTTTATCAAAAATCTAAATTTCTAAAATAAAGTCATAATTATTTTAAAATTATTTTGATAAAAAAATAATTATGACAACCGCATACATGATGCTCGAACTCAAGATCTCGAGAGATAACAACAAATTACTTAACTAATGGATCTCTCAATTCACATTTTTTAATAAATTTTTTTAATTAATCTGAGATAAATATAAAATAATATATATTAAAAAATAATTTTTAAATCATTTTACATTAAACACTGTGCTCGACCTGGAGACCAAAAGATTTAGTATCATCTTAGCATTATTTATAAATTTATTATTTTTGTAATGGACGGTGCATGAATATTAAAAGAACTGGTTTCTCCGATAACAACAACCCACGTGCAGAAGGAAATAGAAAAAGAGACCCATTATTCATTGAACAAATTCATTTACATTAATGGCCGGAATATTCTGATGAAGGACCCGATCTGATTCGACTCGGAGAGAAGTTCTACAGAGTGGGCAACTAGACTCAGAACTCAACCACCTGTCAACACACTCGGGGTGAAAACAGTGTTGACAATGAGGCAGAACCTTAGCTTTCTCACCATCTTCAAACACCCCAAGGCATATACAACACTCGCTCCCGCTCGTCATCATAGTCAGCGGCAACGCATTGATCGTATCGGAGTCCAGCCCTCGTGTCTGCTGCGGCGGAGGAGGCGGAGGCGCGTGGGAGCTTTGTGATAGCTCTTGTGGATGACGGGAGCTGCATAGCCACCGAGCGTAGATGAAGATGAGAGCCAAGATAAGGAGGATGGCAAAGAGGACCACGGTCAAGAAGACGGCGCTGCCTCGGATTTGGAAGTCGTGGTCGTCAAAATCGACGAAGTGCCAGTGGAGAGGCTGGGAGTCTTGGTCTGACGCCATTTTTGGGAAAGTAAATGCTTCGAGGTTTTTTTAACAATGGAGGTTGAGTTTAGGCATCTTTTGCACTAAATATGGTCCGCTTGGAAGTATGAAACGACAAGATTATTATTATTATTATTAAATTAATCACTTATATTTGATTTATTAACGGACTAATTTAGACCGAATACTACTGCGGCGATGACGACCTCCTCATATAATTTGTTTCATTCACAAATGACAAGAATTTAGTGCGAACAAATAATTATTGGTAGATTATTATTAATACTACGGTTAACGCAAAAACTATGTTTAAATTATATTTCAAGTTAATTTAAATATTTAATTTTTTATTAAAAAAAGATGTCTTAATTTTAAATATTTAAAAAAATTATTTAAATAAGTTTAAATAATTTTTCGTTAAACAATTAGTCGATTAACTTTTTCTTATTATACTTTTAAGTATTTAAAAAATAACAACCATTAAAATTTTTATTAAATGATATTTGTCATTGAAATCATATATTTTTTTATTATTGTTATTATTGTTATTATATTATATTATTATTATTATATTAAAAAAATACAAAAAATCAATAAAAAAGGGAAATAATCCCATGAAATATGTTGCTCATTGCTGCCACCTTGCCCGATCAACGCCTGACCCGTCGATCGCCTGCCACCGTCATTTGCGCCGGCGTCTAACCCGCTGGTCACCTGCAACAGACCTCTATCAGCAATCACATGCAACCTGCAAAGCAAGATGCAATCAATTTTTTGGTTGTTCTGTACATGGGTTCTCTATAAAACCTTTACAAAATGAATGTAAAAGAGGGAGATCGGTGGATTAAAAAAAAAATTGGAACATAGCTATCCCATTTTTCTTTAAAAAAATCAGTGTAGACATGGATCTTTTTCCCTCGTTTTCAAAAGCAATATATTTTAAGGTTTTTATTTTCGAGTTTTTTTCCTCTTGTTGTATGTTCAGTTTTGAAGCAAAATAAAAGAAAATCGAATAAAAGGGGGTGTTACCTTAAGTTGTCGGAGTCCTCCTGTCGTCGAGGGTTTATCGAAATAATAGAAATCGAAAGGTCGGATCTTGATTTACGGGATGTCTAGTGCTTATTTAGGTGATTTTCGGCTTCGACTTGGGTCTAGGCGGGTAGATCGAGGTGTTTAAGTTTTTTTTGGGTACTTTTAAGAACTCCAACCACCGTGTGCTGTGGTCGGAGCGGTGGTCGACACTGTAGTGTTGAGTTTTGGTGAGGTTGCCGGCAAGTGGATAGAAATGAAGTGTCGTTTTGGCCCCTATTGCCCAAGACTTGAAACGACGCCGTATAGCCTAAACGCGTGTTTTGGGGCTTGAGGGAAAACCTTCTCTGTGGTCCTCGAAACTCTACCCCGAGTTCATTTTGGTCATCAGATTTGCTTTAATTACTTAATTAAATTCGAAATTTGTCCTTATTTAGTAGTTTTTCATTTTTATTTCCTAATACTAACTATTGGTATATTTGCTTTAAGGTCCTCAAAAATTTATCATGTTTTTACACTCAAGTCACTGTCCTAATTTCAATTTTATTATTTAATTTCATATTTATTACAATTTAACCACTATTTTAAATTAATGTGTGTAGTTGCAAATTAGTCCTTTAACTATTCCATTTTTTGTTCAGTCCCTAGAATTTAAATATATTTTTATTTAGTCACTAACTTTATTTAATTATAATTTGATCCTTGAATTGTTTTGTTTTTTATCTTAGTCCCTAGACTTTAGATTTTTTACACCTTAGTTCCTATACTTTAGGTTTTTTACACTCTAATCCCTAGAATTTAGTTTTTTTACACTGTAGTCCCTAGAATTTAGTTTTTTACACTTAGATCCCTATACTTTAGTTTTTTTACACTTAAGTCCTTAGGATTTTAGATTTTTACCATCTTAGTCCTTAAATTAAATGATAGTTTGGTTTGGGCTTTCGCGTAAATGCTCGAGTGTTCATATCAATTATCCGATCCAATAATTGGTTAATAAAAATTAATAGGATAATTATTAGAGACTTCACCTTAAGCTTAATCTCTTAAGTCCTTTAATTTTCAATAATTTGACACTTTAGGCTAGAAATTCCTTCAATTAATACACTAAGAGACAATGGGGTTTTAAATCAATTGTGTGGTTGCATTTGTTTTTTTAAACCAAAGGCAGTGTTCTCTTATTAGGGAGTTAACGGTATAGCTCTCGCAAGCATGCTCAGGGAGCAACTACTGATGATTCCCAAAATAGGTCGACATCAGTTTTCAATACCGCATCAGACTTTCTAAAATCTCGAGACAATGTTCGAGATTGGGCACAATAGTTGATCTCCAGTATTAATGCTAGGGGCGAATGCTATTGGCTTTGATAAACGAATACCCTTCTTAACTTTGTATCCATAATGATTTCTAAATTAAATAAGACTTTGAACTCAAAATTTCCAAATTTCTAAATAGGGTAATCAACAAGGTACCAATTTTTGGGGTTGTGTGGGTGCTAACCTTTTCCCACGGGTAACCGACTCTCGAGCCTGATATCTGGATTTTCGTAGACCCCAAAACTCAATATTTTGGTAAAATGAAATATTTTATTAAAATCACTTGATTTTTATGTTGTTCCAATTGCACTCATAAATGGTTGGTGACGACTCCTCACATTTCAAATCTTTACCAAAAAAAACCCCCTAAGTCGTACTAGTTTTTTCCACTCGGGCGAAAAACGGTGACAATAGTCACGTTTTGTAAAATTTTCAAATGTTATTAAAATTAAAAAACTTAAATATATATATATATATATATATATTTTAAAAAACTCAATTTTATAAAATTATAAAAAAAACCTTAAAATCTCTAAAATCTATAACTTCAATGTTTTTTTATTTTCGTCGACGTCCTACAACACCATCGATCGGTCCAATGCCACCAATCAAATTCCGTCAGTCGAAATCTCATACTTATCCCTTAATATTAGTAATGAAATCCCTAAATCTTAATATCTAAATCTCTAAATCTCTAAATCAAAACCCTTAATTTCTACATATCAAAAACTCAAACTTCGATATTCCAAATGGATTAAAAAATCTACTCATTATGGTTGGGGTCAATTGTCTCCCCCAAAAAATAAAAATTATTTCATATATTTTAGATACTTGTATACATTTTTTATTAAAATTCTATTACCATTTCTCTTAAAATTTTAAAAATTCGTTCATTTTTAAAATTTTAGAAGTTCACTTCACAACATAAAATTATATATATTTATACCTATATATATATATATATATAGATATAGGGACGAGAATGTGTCATGGTTATAGTTTGTTTTAAAACTGATTCAACTTTTTCTAGATAAAATATAATTTAAATCTGAATATTATCGTTGGACTTTAAATTTATAATAATGATTAAGTGATATTGACCATATATGATTTAATATGCAGATATACTTTCTTCTTAATTAAAGAGTATAAATAATAGATTCAGATATATATATATATATGATTGGCGGCTAATATTTGTGTCGACTTTAAATTTATTGAGGATAGTAATTATATAAATATTATATTATAAATAATTCGAATAAAATATTTTGAAAATTTATATTATAAATTTATTCTATTTACTATATAAAAATTTGAATCCTGTAGCATACAATTATCTTATTAAATCAATTAATAATTAATATATTAATCTTCTTCATAATATTCTGATTTTATTAGATATCATCAAATAATATTTGAATCTTAATATTATCTAAACCTGCAAGTCAAATATTTAGTAATGTCCAAATAATTTAATGCTTCGTATAAAGCACTCCTTGAAAAGTGACACATAAATAACATAAAATTGGGATTCTCACCAAAGCTAGAAAGTCTAATAAACCCTAATGGACATTAAGAAACAAATTTGGCTTATCTACTACATCAAGCAAGTTGCTTTGGAAGTGAGTTTCACAGGGTGGCCATCAAGTTTTAATGGAAATAAAATAAAATAAAATAGATTAATTTGAAGGGGAAAAAGTTATTATTAGACGGTCCATTAATGGATAATTTAATTAATCTTTTTTAAAATAACCATCCATTGAATGAAGGGTCAAATTTTGCTTTAAGTTTAGGGATGCTCTGTTGTGCGGAAAAGGCGGATCAATTTTTCAAGTGACTCAAAAAATAGTAAATTTCTAATATTATTTGGATCTTTACCATCCTAATAAAAATAAATTAATTATTTGTGTTCTTTTTATATATCATGTGAATATTTTCTTCTCTATTTTATTTAGTGAACAGCCACATCGTTTTTAATGTATAATATATATATACATATATATATTGTTTTTCTATTTTTTTGATAAAAATAATTCGGTATTTGTGACACGTTTTTATCTGTATCTGTGATATATTTTTATATTTTTTTGATTGTTTGATCGTTCTTTTTATTTTATATTTTCTCAGATATGGACGAAACTTCATGGGGGCCATGGGAAGCCTTGACCTCCGCCAATTATTTTTTAAGTATTAATTAATATTAAAAATATATATTCTAAAAAATAATAAAGAAAAAAATTATCATTCCCACAATTAAAAAACTGTATTTATGAAAAATAAAAATATTTTAGCCATCGTTTTAATAAATACCTAGTTCTACCTCTAATCATAGGTTGAATTTGACGACGCTATTACTGATTAAGATGACGCTTATTTGTAATCATGTTGATCTTTCCTGCTCTGGATATTCATATTGAATTTGGATACATGGTTTTACGTTCGTGGATAATTTCTCACGATAGTCGACTTTGATTTGTGATTATCGATGATCTTTCAATAGTTTAATCATCTTTTGTAGTTTGTTTCCTGATATAATCATATTTGTTCATATAAAATTTTGTTTGAGTCTTTTGATTAGGTTTTTAACATTTTTTATGTATAGTCCTTTTACGATATAAAATAATTAGGTTTTTTTTTATTTCAATCTTATAGGAAAAGGTCCAATTTATATATTTAATTTACGATAATAGTTCTAAATCCTTTTGTAATTTTAGATATTTTTCGTTTTT